TGTGATTGGTTAGCTGGGCCAGTGTGTGTTGTGATTGGCTAGCTGGGCCAGTGTGTGCTGTGATTGGTTAGCTGGGCCAGTGTGTGCTCTGATTGGTTAGCTGGGCCAGTGTGTGTTGTAATCGGGATATGTCATGCCCCTTACCATACCCGCCTGCAAGCTTCAGTGTAAATATTGCGTCAAAATCAAATAAATTTGAGCGCGATTTAATCCCGGATGATTGTAACCACTCTAAGTTCGTCTGCCTTGGGAAAGCTAGCGTGTCTCCGATATAGTGATAACACTCGTTGCCTTCTCTAGTGCAGCTCAACCAGGTCTCGTCCCATTCGTCGATATTTGTGATATCACAAATCCCGGAAAATGCAATAAAATCATCTCAGTCCGGACTCAAGCACAATCATTAAGTTAGTATCTATGGGGTTAGCCAAAGCATTACTTCTCATATCTTGTCCTTTCACATAATGCCTTTCAGCTAGTGCATATTAGAATGGTTAATTAGCAAGTATTAAATAAATTTTTAGCAATAACTTCATTTTTTACAACTTCCATTTTATGATAATTATTGGTATATTGGTAAACACAGTAAACCTCTATGCCTTACCAGATGTAATCTTTGTCTCCCATTTCTGCCTTCTCAATAATTAGCTGTGTGTCAAACAGCACAAAGCCACACATGATGGCCAGACCCAGATACACATGAGCCTGAAACAACAAAAAAAAACAACTGTTACACAAACTATCACACAACTTCATCCCCTGCTTTCATACAGTCACATCATATACCTTAAAGAGTATTGCTGAGGCGAAGAACATATTGAAGACAGAGACGAGCAGAAGAACAGTCAGCCCTGACATCAGAGTGCCTTGAAGAAAAATAAATCAAACCAAAGTTACAGGTCAAAAAACAAACAACTGTACATGATCAATGACCAGCGTAACTAGCAGATTTTTTAATGTTTACCTCCCAAGAAGAGATAACTTCTGCGCTGTGCATAGAGGGCGCTCAATGTGAAGCAGGCAAAGATGACAGAGGTGCCCAGGAAAGCAGTCAGGATGATGCTGCAAAAAATGAATACAATCATTTGTCATGTGTTGAAAAATATCATTATGTGCAGTTCCACGGAGCCACTGAGTACAGTCAAAGCTTCATGGCAATAAGTACATGACACACAATGAAATCTACAATCCCAGTTATTGTTATTCTTCTGAGTTTTATTCTGTTTTACATTCCATCACTTACTCACCAATGCTGCCCTACAAAGGCAAAATACATCTTAACTCGCTAGTGTGAAACTGAGAAAAAAGACTTTAAAGTTTTTTATTTGTCCAGCCAAATTTAATTACAGGTAGGACACTGGAAATTTGGCAATTAGAGGTTTTAGTAATGAAAATGATCTACATTTTAAAAATAAAAGTGAGCTCGAACTTGATTTCTACCCCTAGTTTAAAGTTACTGTACTCTGCCTTTGCATTGTCTGCAAAAAGTGAGAAGTCACACCAAGGCAAAAAGCAGTAACTTCCACATTATCAATATGTGGTCGCTGACCACCATTTACAAAATCATTATAGTAACACCTGAATAAAATCTAGTGATCATGGGCTCTCTCATATTCACTGCAGAGGATCCATTGCTGAGCAAGTGATGCAATGACACATTTCTCCAAATCTGTTTACATGAAGAAACAAAAGGATGTAATGGTGAAGGTTTATACATTTTCCCAAAATGGTCATTTTTGGGTCAACTATTGCTTTGACAACCAGCTCAAAGATTCAGCTCATCAGAGTAAAGCCACGGTCACACTAGACTTTGAGCATGCGAAATTGTCACGTCACGCTTTTTAAAAACTTAAATTCAACACGTAACAAATTATAATACATCTAAAACGTAAAAACATACAATCTACTCCACTTACCTGCAGCGCTGCGGTTTTAAATTTATGTTCTTTTAATTCAGATAGGAGGTCACGTTTCACCAAGCCTGAACTTTGGAACGCAGCGAAATGCGAAACTTTTCACACAGGCTTGCGTTTCCGGTCTGACGCATTCGCATGCGTATGAATGGAAGTCAATGGAACTAAAAGTGCAGTGTGACCCAGTGCTCTGGGAATATTACCTCGGGTTGACGCTAATGACGTAGTCCATGAGCGGGCCGAGTCCAAGACCTGTTTAAGGCACAGATTGACATGTTGAGTTAAGTGTTTTTAACACACGATCTAGGAAATTAAGCTGTAAAAAAATATTATAAGCATCTCACCTGTGAAGAAAGCAAAAGCAGCGAGGATGGCCAACCTCTTCTTCTCTGTCTGAGGGCTGTGAGGGGTCATGGCAAGCCAACCCATCATAGCCAGTGATCCAAGCATGGTCAGCCCACCCTGAAAGACAGTATCATGATAATGCGTATTAGAGATCCGCTTTACAAGAATCTGTGTACTAGCCGAGGTCCTGTAGTATTATATGCTCTACTTCAGTGCCTTGCGAAAGTATTCGTACCCCTTCTTTTTCCCCCACGTTTTCTTAAGTTGTTGCCTTATGTATATAGATATTACTACACTTCAAGTGAAGTTAACGTGTGGCAAATTCATTTGAATTGGTATGATATGGAAAGGCACACATCTCGCAATAAAAGGTCTAACAATGAATATCAGAGCAAAAATCAAGCCCTGAGGTCAAAAGAACTGCCTGTAGAGCTCAGAAAACAATCTAATGATATCTGGTGTTCTTGATGCTGAGACATTAATATCCTGGTGTTTAGAACGCTAATGTGAAATCTGTGAGTACTGAAATAACTGAGCACTACACTGGAATCTGGCTGACTGATGAATTATTTGTGACCAGAAACACCAGAGACCAGAAATGTAAAGCACCGTTCCAGTCCAAAGGTGGATTCGATTTTGTTTTATTAATGTCTACACCTACCCCAACCAATAATGCAAAAACAGTAATTATTGTTGTACAGTGTGACAAAAATTAAGCTATATTGTTGTGCGCATGCCCCATAACCGCAGCTGTATCCCTTCTTCTAGCCTTAACCACAAATCAGACAGGAGACTAGATTAACTTCGGTGGACTTACACTTGAAAAATGGTGTTCCACGGTTGAAATAAAATATGTATTTGCATACATAAAAAGTACATATGAAAAGATGATCGGTTCAATGTGTGCTGCTTGAACTGAGGTGCTACAGTGATCTGACACAACACATAAATGAGACACAAAATGGTATCTATTGTTTGAATTTCTTTAAAAACTTTAACCTGCTCTGTCTTGTCTGTCTGCACATTGTCAGTTATCTTATGTATTTTTCACCGCGTGAGAACATGATGTTGGCCTACTTCGAATTAAATTAAAAGTAAAATAGCCTACACAAATAACATTTAGACTGTGTTTCTGGTTAAATAAAGCAGTAATTGATGTCATAAAAGAATGAGTATGTTTTGATTTAAAGGTCATAAGCTATAGCTTACATGAAAAAAAAAATCACAAACATGACACTTAATAATTTTATATATACTGATTTATTCATTAATGTGTAATGTTTTATTTTTTAAACAAATCATAAGCTCTAAAAGGTTTTCAGAATTTTTACAACTCTTTTGCTTTAGACCATCTACAAATGTTACATCTTAAAATAAAATGTTAGGGTTAACACTGCATCTTTCTGGGGGAAAAAATGCAGCGATTGATATAGAGTTTATTTATAGTTATTTTCAAAGCTTCAATGTACCATTTAAAAAACCTTCATTATTGTTTATTTAATTCTAACAAATAAGTTATTGTTAAAAACTAACCAAAATTTTTGCTTATTTGCTTATAATTTTTGCACAGGAGAGACTTGGTGTTGTTTCCAAACAAAAGGAAATATATCGGTATCAGCGTTGAAAAATCACCTTAATGCCACGGTAAAAATGTAACGATATGTTTTCTGCACAATGACTATAGCGTAATCAAAAAATACTGTAATTATATTCCATTACACTTTAATACATATCTACATTAATAATATAATAAAATTTGATATGAATATCCCATTTTATTAACCAATGTCTCTGCTACTGACCTTCGATGATCCAGTTCAACCATACGAAGCAAAAATGACACATTTGTGTTTCATTTTTGTTATTACTGAATAGTGTTGAACTTTCTTCTCCTGCGTCATATTGTTCAAGCAATTTGTTTGAGCTGCACCCTCTACTTTACAAATGTGAATTTACATTTCCTTTACCCTGAGGCGTATTCATTTCACTTTTGCTGTGAAAAGGGCTTTTATTATTAAAAACAAAGCAGGCCCTGCCCAGATTTAAAAAGTAACTCAAAAGAAACAATGCATTACTTTCCATAAAAAGTAACTAAGTAGCGTAATTAGTTACTTGTTTAGGGAGTAACACAATATTGTAATGCATTACTTGTCAAAGTAACTTTCCCCAACACTGTTTATGACTATAGCAAGTACATGTAACCAATGTTTGTTCAATGTACATGATATGATAACCATCAAATGTAATATGAAATTCCGTGAAACCTAGTTCCAATCAAGAAAATTCGAAAATAAACAAATGGGAGGAGCCTAAGCCCTGCTCGGGTATAAGAAAAACTACGAGTGAGAAATGCAAAGCATAGAGCTGTTACCTGAAAGAGTCTTGTGATGATGTAGATGTAGGAGCCAGTCGCCGCCACCAGCATACACACAGCCAGACTGGCATAGACATTCTTCAGGTGCTGCCGAGTCGAGCGAGAGCTGACCAGAAAAACACAACCGCTTTAACACATCATTCCTTTCTACTAGTACTGTAATTTCCCTATTGTAGTGTAAAGCAAAAATAATATACCTATGAAATATTAATTTTCATTTATTTTACAGTGCAATTGTTTTACAATATATGGCTACTACTGTCTGGCTTCTTAAAACACCAGTGTGAATGTAATTTAGACAGACAGAATATCACAAATATAAAGAGGGCTGAGTCCCCTTTAAAGTTCAGCAACAAGTCAATTCACTGACTTTTTTCTGACTTAAGTTTCCTTAAGAACTTGGGTTGGAGCCAGGGATCTGAACCGGTTCAAGGAACGTTCCGAACAGAATCGAAAATTTAAAATGGCCATTAACCGGTTAATAACGTTATTTTATCGCTCCATTTAATGTTTGAAATTTGCTGTCAATCAATCACGAATTCCAGTAGTACAGCCTGCAAATGTGACGCTGACGTATCCAACGAGTGAAATGCCTGCTCAGCTGTGAACTCATCATTAAGTCGCAATGGCACCGGCGTTAGAGTTTATCCGAGGATAGTGTACGATGGATTCAACAGATCACACGCACCTGCAGCGCTTCTGTGAACGGAGAAAACAGAATAAAACTATAGGCTTACATAAAAAGGAATATATAGGCCTATACACTGTAACGAATCAGCTCATGGGAAATATGAATAATTAATCATAACTAGTTATAATTAATTATGAATATTTTAGATCCGCTGTAGATATTTACTTGACCTCTCAGGGTCAACTGTCTTGTCAATTCTAAGAACGTTAATTTCCTGGTTAAAGGAAATAACTTTCTTACTGTACAATTCTACAAAAGCTTGTAGCATAAATCTGCGTGATTAAGTGACTCCAGTTATGAGCAAACAATGAACCACGTCAAGTGTGATACAAGTAAGGTTTTATTAACTACATAAACACTTAAACTAGTCTAAAAACATTGTTTTTTTCGTTTTCAAGCCCTGGTTGGAGCTCTTAATTTTTGTAGAATATTAAGTGCAATACTAATAAGTGCATTAGATAGAATAATTTAACTTTAAAATGTACAAAAGTTTCAATTCTTCATTTGTCTTTTTAAATATCGCAATAAATATCGTATCGTGGACTTCATATTGCAATAATATCATATTGTGAGATTTTGATATCATTGCATCCCTATTCCTTTCATTACAATCTATTATACAATTCTAGTTATTATAGTGTAGATATAATGAAATCAGAACCATGGGCATCATGAATATCATACAGACCTGTACACGTATAGAAATTACAGAGGTGATCAAAACACACTTACATTTGAGAGAACTTGAAGAGAGCGTCAAAGTTTATGTTGCGATCAAACACGTTCATTTTTCTGCTGCTTTAGTGATCACAGGAAACCACCTACATGAAGACACAGAAAACAGAAGAGATGGCTGTAGGAAAAATATTGATCATCTGTGTGAAGAACATCACTAACCCAAAATCCATCAGAACCAATCAAATAGTCCTGTTCGATAGGGCTGTGCGATATTGAAGAAAAATGCGATATGCGATAACTCATTAAATAATGCGATAGTCGATATGCGATACGATAATGCTTAAAGTGCCACACGCTCAGATGAAACAGTTTTACTCAGCTGTTGCTGAGTCAGTTCTGTGAACTTCTATAACTATCTTGTGTCATATATATATATATATATATATATACACACACATACATACATATATTATTTGTATGTATGTATGTATGTATCAAGAGCTCCTGTAAAACCACAATAAATTCTTTAAAAAAAAAATTGCGCACACTTAAGTGGTGAATAAAACTCATTCTGATTCAAATATAACTAGCATACATGTTTCACTTTTTGTGAGAAGAAAGCACCCCTACAACAACTTCTGAAAGTGAACGGTAGTGTTTTACTCTAGCATTACATAAAAATGTCACTTTAACATTAGTGTACTCATTTTAACAAGTTTAGGAACTGAATAATACAAAGGAAAAATACAGCACTGCTTTGCATTTACTCTATGAATTCAATATGCACCGATTCTTATTTAAGCTATAAAAGTTATTTAGGTAAGAGCAGTGAGTTATTTTCTCTGTCGTTTGTTCATGGCCCCATATATTGCAAGCCGTAGCGATATGCATATTGCGATATTTTGATAATTTCGATACTGCACAGCCCTACTGTTCACTAAGAGCAGTGAGCATCTGCTACACCAAAGGAATATGCATACTACTCTTACAAGCTAGACACCTAAAGGCTGGAATACACTACCTGATTTTTGCCCAGATTTTCCACCGATTGTCGACGCTATTTGCCAAAAGTCAGAACCAGTCTGCAGATTTGAGTTGACAGATTTCATAGAAAATCGCGTCGTATATAACGTTCACAGACTCCATCAAGTCGGAGGGTTAGGCACATGTTTCTGCATGAGTTTGTTGTGATCAAAACAATTTCAAAGTCTGCTAGTGTGTGATCCTCAGTCGTTTAGTGTATGATGGGCAGGTTTCCTCTGTCACTATTACAAAGTCAGTAAGTGTATGATGCCTAGTGTTTTGAAATCTGTTCAGATTTTAAAAGTCGTGTAGTGTATTCCAGCCTTAATGTATTTCTTTAAGACTTGTAATAACTTCTTTAAGTCACTCACATAAAAACACACATTGGTCTAATTTGAACGCAAAAAAGAAAGATGGATTATCTCTTGGCTCACTGCTAGTTGGCCAGACTATTTCTTAAAGTGTCAGTTCACCCAAAAATGAAAACTCGTGTCATCATTTAGCCTACTCATCAAGTGGTTCAAAACCTGTGTGAGTTTCTTTCTTCCGGTGAACACAAAAGAAGATTGTGACGAGTGGGGCGGGGCCGAGAGCCGTGCCCCACTCGTCACAAAGATATTTAGAAAAATGTAGATAGCCAAACAGTTCCTGGTAGCCATTAACTTCCATAGTATGGAAAAAAAACTAAACGAAACAAAACTATGGAAGTCAGTGAAGACCAGTGTTGGGGGTGACATTACAAGTAACGCATAACGAGTTACATAATCAGATTACTTTTTTTCCAAGTAACTAGTAAAGTAACGCATTACTTTTTAATTTAAGAAAATATCTGAGTACTTTTTCAAATAAGTAACACCAGTTACTTTGTTTTCCCATGTATTGACTGACAGCTCTCCTGTCCCCATGTTGAAAGCAATCGTGTGAACATGATGTTACTGTAGTTCTAGACTAAATGTGAACATGCATTTACTAATCTCACTGCACAAAAACACATTCAGTATTCCTCAAAATGAACAAAAACAGTCAAATGCAAACTAGGCACGGGGCGATAACCGGTTTCAAGGTTTGCCACTGTTTGAGTGTTGTACGGAGAGACCGTGTGTGTGTGTGTGTGTGTGTGTGTGCGCACACATCCTCGTACCTCACCGCTCCAAACAATAGCTCCAAACTTAATCCGGGAAAGGTGAACATTCCTGCATCATAACTTGGACTGAAAGATGAATGTGTAGAAAGAAAATAATTTATTTATGTTCTGATTATTGTTGAGGTGCAGGTTTAGGCTCACTTAAGTGACTGCACTTAATTAAGAAGAATTTTATTATTTATTTTAATTATTTAGCCTGACATGTTCTATATGTTTCTTAAAAATAAAATATATTGTGTTCAGTGGGGGGAAAAAAAGTTGTCCAGACATTTAAAAATAACTTATTTTAGTTCAGTAATCACAATACCGTGATATTTTTATCTAAGGTTATCATACCGTCAGAATCTCATACCGGCCCATGCCTAATACAAACACAGAATATGACACAAACCTGCAATAATCAAATATGTAAACACAAATATCCTTTATGTATTTAATCTTATTTTCTCAACCAATGTCTTTGCTACTGACCTTTGATGATTCAACCATACGAATAAGAACAAAAATTAACTTTAGATAAACTAACATTTGTGCTTCATTTTTGTATTTCTGAAGAGTGCTGAACTTTCTTCTCCTGTGTTCTACTGTACAGATGTGAATCTACTTTTCCTTCAGCCTGGGGTTTACTCATTTCACTCTTGTTGTAAAAGGGCTTTTATATTTGCCAACAACAGAACTTTTTCTATTAAAAACATACAAGCAAGCCCTTACCAGATTAAAAAAGTAATGCAAAAGTAATGTAGCACATTACATTCCATTAAAAGTAACGTAATTAGGAGTAGGCTAATGCAACATTGTAATGCATTAATTTTAAACGTAACTTTCCCCAACACTGGTGAGGATTAGAAACAGTCTGGATACCAACTTTCTTCAAAATATCTTCTTTTGTGTTCAACAGAAAAAAAGAAACTCACACCCGTTGAATTTTCCTTTTTGGGTGAACTATCCCTTTAAGACACAGTCTGAACATGGAGGCTAAGTTTATGGAACTGAACCCAGCAGGACATTTCTTTTTTTATTCATATAACTTCAGAAATACACCAGAATTAGTGAATTTTTATTTTTGGGTAAAACATCCCCTTAACAATCCTAATCAACAAAACTGTTATACTGTTAAAATTAGAGGTCGACCGATGTATCGGTTTTGCCGATTAATCGGCACCGATAGTTGATTGCTGGAACTATCAGTTATCGTCAAAAATCCATGCCGATAGTTTTCCAGGTTGCGTCCATTGCTAGAGCGGCTGAGAAGGGTCTGCTGTCATTACACAGTGCGAGAGCGGCCTCTAGTGGTTGAAATCACTGACAGCACGTGCTATTTGTTTAGACACGTGATACTGCATGCTGAACAGAGCGGGAAACTTCAGACACGAATTTAAACGCAGCCGACAGAAAATCCTGCTGCGCCACAGAGCGCCATTCACATAGTTTTCCTTTAAATTACATTATATTGGTCCCGAATCGTTGTTAATGTACATAATGAATTGTGTATTGTGCATTTTCAGCAAAACGTTTGTCTTTCTGTGGCTCTAATAAAAGTCTGTGTGCTTCATTTATAGAGCTATAATATAGGTCGGTCTTTCTCTTTCCGTTTGCACCGTTTTTTAAACACCGAACTTCAAACTTATCCATGCCAAATTGTTCATTCTTGAAGTAAACTTGTGTCCGTTTGGTGATTAAATAAACTGTTTTAGACCGCTGCTCGAGTTGAACGCAACACGTCCGGAGTGTGTGTGATACCGGTGAGTTCTCCTAGACTCAGCGCTGCGCTTTTATTTTGATTAGATAATCATCAAGTGTTCAAGAATAGAAGCAGTTAAAGTGTGAGAATACACATACAATATCCATATGTATATCATTTTAATGCTATGGCCTTTGTGTATATATTTAAAGATGTGCATCTTTAAGCATGACAGTTGAAATTAAATGGTAACACTTTAAAATAAGAGTCCAGTTGTAGCATTAAGATTAATGAAAGCTGTGTAAGTATTGTTCCTTGTTAGAGTGTTAATTTCAACAGGTACTTTTATTTTTTTACTACTACTAGTATGGTTCAGTACTGTTTTTGTTAATAAAGCACTATTTGTTCAGTATCAATTTTAAAACTATCGGTTAATTAATCGGTATCGGCCAGTGTGGTCCAACCTAGCTATCGGTATCGGCAAAATCCACTATCGGTCGACCTCTAGTTAATATAATTAATAATGGTTAGACATTTTTAATGGTCTATTTTTTTAATGGATACTGCAGTCTAGGCTGTTTAATTACAGACTATGAATAAAGGTATTAGAGGCCATCTAATTTGACAAATAGCCCATCCATGGGAAAGAATGAGCAGCGCTTTCCTGTGTTGCAAGCGGTAGCATATAAGGACTAGAAAAATGCAACTGGAGAACAGGGTCAGAAAATAACGGTCCTTATAATGCCACCAAAATTAATAAAAATGCCCCCCAAAATTCAAGAAAGGGGTGCCAAAAATGCCTCAGTATGATTTTGTTAATTATAACATAAAATTAATTTAAGCAATATCACTTTTTTCCTGAATATCAGCACAATTACAGAGATTTTCATATTCTAAAAACAGTTCACTAAACTAAAAGTTAACATTAAGTGACTTTGTAGATACAGTATTGTCTGTTTGTGCTATTTTGCCAATGAAAACAGTTCCAAACAAATCCGCAGGAGAACCGCTGCACATCTCTGAACTACAAACATTGGTGTTCAGCTTTTGAATGAATACTCATTCTGAACAAATGATTCTATGACCCATTCGTGAAGCCAGTCACACGCATTGTTCCTGAATAAATCGGCTGTTTTGGATGAATCAGTTGAATGAGTGATTCAAAGACTCGCTCATTAAGACAGTGGGTCTCATTCACTATCCATATGCACACGACTTTTGGGAAGTCGTGGCCTAATGGTTAGAGAGTCGGACTCATAACCCAAAGGTTGTGGGTTTGAGTCTCGTACCGGCAGGGATTGTAGGTGTGGGGAGTGAATGTACAGCACTCTCTCCCACCTGCAATACCACGACTGAGGTGCCCTTGAGCAAGGCACCGAACCCCAACTGCTCCCCGGGCGCCGCAGCATAAATGGCTGCCCACTGCTCCGGGTGTGTGTTCACGGTTTGTGTGTGTTCACTGCTGTGTGTGTGCACTTTGGATGGGTAAATGCAGAGCACTAATTCCGAGTATGGGTCACCATACTTGGCCACACGTCACTTCACTTCACTTCACTTCACTTCACACAGATGTTTGCGTGAAACCTGCATACAAAGGTTTTCATGAACAAATCACCATTCACTAAAAAACTTCTGTACTAAAACGTACTCTAAATTTTAGATTTTTTCTAGATAATGCATCTTAAAGATACAGGTGCATCTCAAATTAGAATGTCGTGGACAAGTTCATTTATTTCAGTAATTCAACTTGTTTGTTATGAAAGGATTGCAGGAAGTGACGTCATCTCGAAAGCTCACTGAGAAACATTAGTACTGTAAACGTGACGGTTTCTGCTCCCTGGCGATGTTAATCAAATGAAGACTATTCCAGCTACACGGGTTTCTGTCAGACCAGAGTACAGGCTTATCTAAATCATCCGTCTGCAATACACTAACTTACTGAGCAAATGAAGATAAGCTAACTACACACTGTGCCTTGTGGACTTTAACTTCGTGTCTAAATAAGAAGTATTTTCCATCGAAAGATCAACACTGAACATCCTCACCTAAGTTCGAGTAAAAGTAAGCAGCACAAAGCTAAAGTAACGTTACAGCGAAAGCTAGCACCATGTTTGGTTTTACCAACTTCACAAACAAACACGCAGCTAAACCCCGCTGACACACTAGCCTGCAGCACCCGGTCAGCAGTTTAAACACACACACACACTCTCTCACACACACACACACACACACTCTCTCTCTCTCTCTCTCTCTTCCGTTATCAAACGCTCTTTTAATCTTCTGCTCTCGCTCACTGCGTTATGGCTACATATTATTTCTCCTCATTCCATAAACATTAAGTTCGCTTTATTACCGTGAGATGTGAAAGTGTGTTTCTCCCGTCTGTTGTATTTGAGAAGGCCTGGGTCCGGAATCAACGGCTCTCCGACACGTACAGCGAGTGACAAACAACGCGATTGCGTCACACGCACGCACGCACGCACGCACGCACGCACGCTCTTCTTCTTCAGGTCTTTGGCGAGTTACAGACCAACATTAAAGGCGCATACCCCCACCTACTATATTGGAGTGTGTAAAATCATGGCTTCTGATCTAATTTTATATTCTTCTAATAAGTTTCGTGCGAAAAAAATCATTAGTGCATTTGCAACTTCCCCTTGAGAATGATCTATTCCTAAAATTCCTTTAATATCCAATTTTCTTCCTAATTTGATGATACATTTAAATCTGACTCCCTGTCTTCCTCACAGTTCCTAGTTTAATATAACAGTCTCTACATTTTCTTTGCATTTACAAACCTCACATTTATCTGTGTTCACTTTACTCATAAGAAATAATGTATTAAGTCTTGTGTCCTAACTGTAGTCTTGTATAACTGATTTATTTTGTTCTGCTTTAATTACTTTTTGAATACCGTAATATTATCTACGTCCCAAATCATCCGCCAGTGATTATCAATGTTGCTTTCAACTATTGTTTCTGCTTCATTTTTTTCCAAGGGAGATATTTTGTATTGATATCTATTTTGTCATTCTGATTTAATGCCTTTTTTTGCTAATTTCGTTACCTTGAATTCCTGCGTGTGCTGGTATCCAACAGAATTGAACATCTATTCGCAATCTTTCTAGGTTTAGTAGTGCAGTGCATATCTCTATTAAAACATCATCTCTAGTTGTTTTTACACACGCTGTCAGGGGAGGAAGCAGCGAGGACTCAAGGTGCAGGAAGAATGGGTCTTTTATTAATAAAATAAAACAAAACCACAATTAAAACTACCCAGAGCACAACCAGCCGTGTGCCCAAATAAACGCACAACCATTCTTATGCTTGTAATATCTACATCTTCTAGACAGACAATGTCTGGATCGTGTTGTGTCTCTTTGTGTTTGTGTTCTCTGTGTTTCCTTGGTTAGGCCTACTGATAAATCCCACTTGTTTGTAGTTTAGTTGTCTATGTGTAAGCAGGGATGGGCAGTATTTATGATACATACCGTTCCATCATTAATGAATAACTACACAAGAACACATGAGTAATGCAATATAAGCACTCTAGCAATCTAACAAGAAACTCTAATTAATGAATTAGTTAGTAGTGCTTAGTTAAAAGTGCAGCTGATCAGTAACTACTGTTTTTTCATACCTCCCCAAGAACTACTAAGTTCTACTGTCTACAGATTGATAATTAATATGAATAATGCATAATTAATTCTAAAATCATGGTAACCCACTAGTTATGACTATTACCAAGTTCTTCAGAAAGAATAACTAATTATTTGGGCCAGTATTCTAACGCGAATAACATGATTAATTCTCTAGTAATGACTGAAATCAGCTTTTGAGGGCTTTGTAAGGTTCTGGATTCATTGCATGAATGACTGCCTGACACATAATATATTATTATATTCATGATTAACAATCAAATGATTAATTAGTTAGAAACTAGTTGCTATGAAAACAGGTGCCTCAGTTGTCTTCTTATGAATGACGTGTTTGTCATTGAGTCAGTGTTTCTGATGCAAAGTAGGCCCTTCGTTACCAAACACAAAGTAACTAAATTAGCATACAATTATGAGTCATTCACAAGCTGTTAAACATTAAAATGTTGGTTACTTTAAAACGAACCTTCATCAGGGAGATCACAGGGATATGTGAATATCTGATCTGTTAACTGGTTGCATATGTCAGATTTATTGCATGACTCGGGCAGAGAAGAGCTGTTGCTATCAAACATCCTTTACTTAATCAGCTGAGTCAGTGTAAAGGTGAGGGATAGATCAAATAGATGAAAGGTTTGTGAAGAAAGTTCACGCTCCCTTGTAAAAGTATTTTTAGTCATTTTAAAATACAAAAATACAGTCGTTTATTTTGATACATGGTGTGGCTGCTGTATTTTGATACACCTGAAACTCTCTCTCTCTCTCTCTCTCTTCCGTTATCAAACGCTCTTTTAATCTTCTGCTCTCGCTCACTGCGTTATGGCTACATATTATTTCTCCTCATTCCATAAACATTAAGTTCGCTTTATTACCGTGAGATGTGAAAGTGTGTTTCTCCCGTCTGTTGTATTTGAGAAGGCCTGGGTCCGGAATCAACGGCTCTCCGACACGTACAGCGAGTGACAAACAACGCGATTGCGTCACACGCACGCACGCACGCACGCACGCACGCACGCACGCACGCACGCACGCACGCACGCACGCACGCACGCACGCACGCACGCACGCACGCACGCACGCACGCACGCACGCACGCACGCACGCACGCACGCACGCACGCACGCACGCACGCACGCACGCACGCACGCACGCACGCACGCACGCACGCACGCACGCACGCACGCACGCACGCACGCACGCACGCACGCACGCACGCACGCACGCACGCACGCACGCACGCACGCACGCACGCTCTTCTTCTTCAGGTCTTTGGCGAGTTACAGACCAACATTAAAGGCGCATACCCCCACCTACTATATTGGAGTGTGTAAAATCATGGCTTCTGATCTAATTTTATATTCTTCTAATAAGTTTCGTGCGAAAAAAATCATTAGTGCATTTGCAACTTCCCCTTGAGAATGATCTATTCCTAAAATTCCTTTAATATCCAATTTTCTTCCTAATTTGATGATACATTTAAATCTGACTCCCTGTCTTCCTCACAGTTCCTAGTTTAATATAACAGTCTCTACATTTTCTTTGCATTTACAAACCTCACATTTATCTGTGTTCACTTTACTCATAAGAAATAATGTATTAAGTCTTGTGTCCTAACTGTAGTCTTGTATAACTGATTTATTTTGTTCTGCTTTAATTACTTTTTGAATACCGTAATATTATCTACGTCCCAAATCATCCGCCAGTGATTATCAATGTTGCTTTCAACTATTGTTTCTGCTTCATTTTTTTCCAAGGGAGATATTTTGTATTGATATCTATTTTGTCATTCTGATTTAATGCCTTTTTTTGCTAATTTCGTTACCTTGAATTCCTGCGTGTGCTGGTATCCAACAGAATTGAACATCTATTCGCAATCTTTCTAGGTTTAGTAGTGCAGTGCATATCTCTATTAAAACATAATCTCTAGTTGTTTTTACACACGCTGTCAGGGGAGGAAGCAGCGAGGACTCAAGGTGCAGGAAGAATGGGTCTTTTATTAATAAAATAAAACAAAACCACAATTAAAACTACCCAGAGCACAACCAGCCGTGTGCCCAAATAAACGCACAACCATTCTTATGCTTGTAATATCTACATCTTCTAGACAGACAATGTCTGGATCGTGTTGTGTCTCTTTGTGTTTGTGTTCTCTGTGTTTCCTTGGTTAGGCCTACTGATAAATCCCACTTGTTTGTAGTTTAGTTGTCTATGTGTAAGCAGGGATGGGCAGTATTTATGGTACATACCGTTCCATCATTAATGAA